ATTTAAATTTGGAGAGCAAGGAGGGCGATTATACCGCACCACCTAAAATTGCAATGAAATTAAATAACAGGTAAATTTAAATTTGGAGAGCAAGGAGGGCGATTATACCGCTCCACCTGAAATTTGCAGTAAAAGTAGATCTGCAGTCCAAGATAGGCGATGATACCGCACCATCTTGGATCGCAGTAAAATCAATATAAATACTATGTTAGTAATCAATATCCAAACCAAACAAGTAATCAAAGATGTATGTAACCGCTAGTTGGAGAACTACGAGCAGGCATGGAGCAAATAGTTCGTCACGAGGATATACCGCGCAGTTGAGGCAGATGAAGAAGATGAACAGGAAAAACCTTAGAGGAAACATTTTTTTTTTTTTTCGTTCGGCGGAGAGAAAAGAGAGAATGATTTCCTTTATTGTTTAGTGAATGTAAATGAGACATGGTTATACTTAGAGACTCGTGCTGATAACGTGTTATAAATAGGCAAAATTTATAGAGAGATAACCTTTACTCGGGACAGGAACGAAGCAGTTGCAGAGTATTATACCAACACAAGCTGTTGCTGAGGAAGTAATGTATATTATTGCTATTAGATATATTTCTCTTTTATTTCTTCTTCTTATATCCCTCTTTTGCACAAATGAAGTGCTCTATTTATAGAGCCACTTCAATGGAAAATTACAAAACATTACTATTTAGCTTGTGAGTATATAGTACACACATGTGGGCAAACATACCCATTATTTACAACAAGCATAAGGCCACACATTTTATAGACAACAGCAAGCCACCACTAGGCACTACCACCACCCACAGGTATAAATGGATAGACCATTACCATAGTCTAAAGTTGAGGGAACTTGCAAGATACCCACCAACTTCAAACTACCGTTCAACCTTGACCGAGCAAGATACATAAATAGAGAAGGAAGAAGGAAAGAGATTAGCTCAGCTTTTGTGAAATTATATTAAATTCATTCTAACAGTTGGAAGAGAGAGAGTGTGGCTATATAGCCAACCCATTACACATGTCTGTCTTGCCACTTGTCACTAACAAAGAAACTAGTAAAATAAAGGGTTAATCTCTGTTTACTATCCTGAAATTTCGTGGTTTTCAACATTTGGTGCATGAAGTTTTTTTTTTCATCTCAGAGTCATACCTCTAGTCTTAATTTTGGGACAGTTTCATACATCCGTTAAGTTTTCCATTAGAAATTTTGTTAACTGATGACGTGACATCCACGTGGACAATAACTGAGTGCCACATGTCAATATGAGCCCACTTCAATATTAAAAAATTAAAAAAATAAAAACAAAAACACAAAAACAAAAAAAATAAAAATAAAAATAAAATCCCACCCGTCCCTCACCCCCCCGCACCATCTCCATCATTTCTCTCTTCTGCAACCCTCACCTCTTCCCTCGCTTCTCCCTTCTCTCTTCTCCAATTCCACGCCTCTGTTCTCCTCGCCCACATCACCCTCGCTGTCATCCTCATCACACTCTTCATCTTCCTCACATGCTGCTGCGTCGCTTCGCACAGTGCAGCCGCCATTCTCTCCCTTCTGATCCTCGTCGAGGTCACCAGCCTCTGCCTGAACGTGTGGACATTGGCCAACGTTGCCGCCTGCAAGTCCAAACCTCAAGTCTTCTTCTGTAATAGCTTGATTGTGAACGGATCTGAGCTTTGCACTGTGCAAATATCCAGATTCAGTTTTATCTCCAATGGTGAATCAGATTGCCATCTGGGTCTTCCCCATTTCCCCTGGAACCTCAAATTCCAACTCCTAGTCTAATTTGGCTCCCAGTCCCAAATGGGTCAAATTGAAGGAAAATCGAGAGGTGCTGGGACTTGCAGAAGAGAGAACAGAGGGAGAGGGTGCCGGGGGAGGGGGTGGGTGAGGGAAGGTTGGGTTTTCTTTTTTTTTTTTTTATAATTTTTTTTAATATTGGAGTGGGCCAATATTGGCATATGGCGCTCAATTATTGTCCACGTGAACACCACGTCATTAGTTAACAGAATTTCTAACGGTTGTATGAAATTGTCCCAAAATTAAGTCTTGAGGTATGACTCTGGGATGAAAAAAATTTCATGTACCAAATATTGAAAATCACAAAATTTCAGGATAGTAAACTGATATTAACCCTAAAATAAAATACCACTTAAAAGCTGTAAATTGCAAATTGAACCCAAACTATTACAATTTGAGCCCAACTTGATTTCTTGTGATGGAAGAAATCACGGAACATGACAGTGGTCAGCAAAAATCATTTCCAAATTGAAAGGTAAAAATCATTTCCAGATCTTCTGTGCCCCTCAACCCATACTCTCATTTCTAACCTAGCCGTTTAGGTCTCTCATTTTCTCACTGACAGTGGCGAAGCTACGTGAGGGTAAGGAGTGGCGGCCGCCACTCCCCTCGCCGGAAAACATGCCTAAGAGCGCTCGTTCAGCCCCTCCGCTCTCGTCGGAAATGAGAATTCCCGCTCCAGTGATCTGGTTTCTATTGCTGTGGGGGAGACAGTCTTCAGCAATCGCCGTCGTTCAAGAGAAGGACAAGGAGTTAGTCTTTCTGTAGAAGAGAGTGAGAGGAGGTGGGTCGTCGAAGTAGAGAAGGATTGGTGGTGGGTCACCGAAGGAGATAAGGATTGGTGGCGGGTCGCAATGAAATTTGGTTGTTTGTCCAGATTTGAAAAAAAAAATTGGGTTTTCAAATGGGTAAATTATTGCTGGATTATTGTTTGTGTTTGTGCTTATGTTTGAAATGGAGTGGTGATGATGAGAGCAATGGAAACCATGGTATACAGACGTGCGGAGATGTTAGGGACGAAAGGAATAAATGGGTTGTTTGGATGCCCGTCTTCCTTAAACACGAGGGTGTTTGGTTGCTAGTTTTAATAAGAAAAGTAGGACACATGTTTTAACTTTACTGAGTGACATTGTAGTCATTGAAAAAAGGCAGTACCCAAGTATTGTCCTTATTAACCTATTTCTCTCTTTTTTTTCAAATTTTTGTTCGTGTATGTATTTTTATTTGGGAATTGTTATTGGCACTCTAAAAATCTCATTCTACATTCAAAATTTTCTATATTTAGAAATAAAAATACACTTGTGAGGAGTGTAGAATGAGATTTTTGGAGTGCCAATAACACTTCCCTTTTATTTTCTCTTTTAAGACTCTCACCGTATTTTCTTAAACTCTCACATTATCTATAAATATTGTATTATTTTTTAAAAACAATGTAAATATTGTTTAATACTTATTTTACGATAATTTAAATCCATCTAGGCTTCTGCTTAGATATCGCCTAGGTCTGCTAGGTCCACTATTTGACTAGCACACAATATTTTTTACGATATAATCTTTGCCAATTTAAGCTTCTTACATTAGTTTTGATATTATTGCTTACAACAACTTTGATGCAAAACTATCTTTTGCTATGAATATTGACTCAAAACTTTACACTCTCCAATGTGAAAGCAACCATTCGATAACTTTGCACTCTTTTGAATTTCGCCCCTCCCCTCCCCTCGGTAAATCTTGGCTTCGCCACTGCTTCACTGACCTTGAGCCCAGAGCCACCTGGTCATTCCTCACCTCGTTCATCTCGCAGTCCCCGCGAGAACAACACAGACAGTAAATCGCCTCCGTCGTTTTCCTCCTCTCGCCTTCCTCTCCCTCCTCTCCCCCTTCGTCGTCTCCTTCCTCCTCTCTCCCTCTCTCTGGAATGGATCGGTACTCGAAGAGGATAAAAAGATATGAAATTGTGTTTAGGTATGCAGCTTTTCGGCCCTTTGTTTTCTATTTTTAATTTAATTTTTTCCCATTTCTGAAATGAATTCTTGCTATTTCTTCTGTGTATTTGCTGAAATTTGTGTTCAACTAGTATTAGATGTGAATTTACAACTAAAAGCATAAACTAACTTCAGCACGCCTAATACTGTCTTCTCATAAAACCCTTCACGTGGGCGACTCCAAGTCTCAAATTTCAATGGTACGAGGTTTGTTTTGAACTCAAAGTTTGCACTTTTTTTTATTGTCTACTCATTCACCCGCCAATAAAAGTTGCACCCTTTTATTTTATTTTATGTATTTTCTTGGGTTTGCTTCTTCTACTGTGATTATGTGTTTTTAATTTTTCTGGGTTCGGCTTCTTCTGTTATTCCACTGTCTATTACCAAAATAACAATTTTTTTACATTTTGTTATATTTCATTGCAATATCAAATAAAGTTCGTACTTTAAAATCTCACTGCAATTTTTCTGGTTATACTGTTGGTGGGTATCTCTAATTATGCCCTGAAGGAGGAAGGCAAAGAGAGGACAGACCTGGGTTTGGGACACAAAAGGGATCTTTAGATTTATGTAAAAATACTTTATGCCTTTTTGCTATTGGTGATGAGTGTTCATGAATATTTATGCTTTAATATAGCTGTTACAGGAGCAAGTTGTTTAACTAAAATCCTAAGAAGATTAGGGTAGAGTATGGAGGACAAATGAATAAAGAACATTCCGGCCATCTTATTATTGATTGTCTGAATCTCTGCAATCTCTGAGATATATTTGGGTTAATTTCAGAGTGATATTCGTCAGCGTTCAAGAAAAACTTTGCTGCACTGCAATATAAGAGTATCTGGGTTAAAGAAATTTTTCTGATTTAAGCACTTAGCTCCTGGATCGCATGAAATCAGTATTTAAAGAATTTTTTTTTGTATGAGAATGCATTAATAGAATTTTTTTTTGCCCAAAAAATTAACTCACAGAACTTCCTGTGAGTTAGTCTTAAGCTTTTGATTTAAATTTTTTTAGAATTATTGTCTTTTTTTTTATCTCTGCTGCTGTTTTTTATTTTTGATTTTTATGCGATGTTCATCTGTGTAGGCACTCAAATTAGTTTTTGGACTGCATCTTGATCAGACCACCACAAAGAGAAAACGGAAACCAAATTCAGAGCCATCAAAACAAACAAATGCTGGTCTGTCCTAAAAAAGGTTGGTTTGTGTACTTTTGAAGAATATTTGGAAAAAGAGAGTATTGATCATGGTGTAGAATCTGATGGTAATGTGGTTGAAAAAGATAAAATGTTGCATGAAAAGATCTCGAAACTCATTGACGAAATATGCAGCAGTGAGCTGAGTTGATAAGGAGAAACAAGGAGAAGTGTGAAACAATTGAGCGGCTTTTGTCCCATGTGCATAAGCTAACAGATGAGAACAAAATTTTGAGGATTCATCTGGGAATCCATAAGGATACTACTGATCATACAATTACAATCCATAAGAATGCTACTGATCATACAATTACAAGGCAAAACAAGCCTCAGTTTTCAAGGTCTAAGTCCATGGGGCCATCTTTCCTTGGAAGGCTCACTGGATGCACTGGCACCTGATCTTAATTAGCAACTTTTCAACTTAATTAGGTAGCTTTATCAGTTTTCAAATGTATCTGTTTATATGTTTTGATGATACTTATGAAGATTCCGAGTAAATTATAACATATTTCAATTTTTAATTTGCTGTGCGTAGAAATGGAACTGAATGCTTCGTTATTTTGATCTTGCATCTGAAGCCAAGTCTGGATTAAGAGAAAGATCTCATGGCAGGAATCATGGACTTGATGAAGGTGAGGTTAACGAAGTGTGCTTTAGCACCAAGATTGAGTTTTGTTTTGTTATGATTTTTCTATAATCTAGATGCTGAAATACTTGGAGTTGGAATTAATAAGAATCGATTGAAACATGGATTTTTTATTAGATTGGTATGGCTGACATAGTTAAGAAGTAGTTTAAGATGCACTGCATTGGTTAGGGAATTTCTTTAATTGAACATATTTGTTTTCATGAGGTAGGTAGAATCCTCTGTAATTTAATTAATTAGATTGAAATTTGGAGCCATGTTTGGATTCTTAAACTATGGTGGTTAATGTTGTTTTTAGGTGATTTTTTCAAGTGGGGAAAAAGAGGTGGGTGTGGGATTTATATTGTTATTCTCAGTCGGTATATAAGTATTTGAATGTGCAAGACATGGATACCATACAAGAAATGCAAGAATTGAAATTAGAAGGCATGAAGGCAGTTTGCAGAGGGTGGTAAAACTCGCCTAGGTAGCGAGATTAATGGTGATGGTTTCGTTACGGCGTAGTTCGCTGTGAAAAAAGGCGACGGTGGTTGCCTTGCTGTTTCTGTGCAGCGAGCACAGTATCGAGAGAAAGAGGTGAGGGAAATAGGGAGAGTGGTAGAGAGGGAGTGAGACATGAGGGTGGTGGCAAGGTGGTGCCTCGCCGGAGTGGCAAGTGAGGTGGTGATGGCTGCTCGAACGGGAGATTGTTGGTGCACTGGAGAACTTGACTCCTCACTCAGTCTGGTCTCTGGAGAAGAAAACCAAACAGAGTTGTGCATTAGCAGAGTTTGAAATGAGGGGTTTTAATCTTTGGCATGCTATTGTCTTTATTTAATCTTCTTTGCATAAAATTCCGATGGACAAGTGAAATAAACTAAATGAAAACTTGGAGAAGAAGTTCTGATTTTTAATATCTTCAGTCAGGGATTATTGCTGCCTTTCACAATTGAAATGCGAATACATAATGTTGCTTAGAACACAAGTCAAAATTTTTTAAACTGGAACAAAAGTTCATTATCTAGACTCGAGTTTTTCTAAAATTGTTTTATAAATTCCAGTGTAGTTAACAAAAAGAATAAACTTATGAAAAATGGTAGCTTAATGTTGGATTCCAGGTAAATATTTGCTATCCCAGACGATGGAATTGCATCATGAGTTTCTATATTTTCCTGAACAAATTTACTGAAAGTGTTTCCAACACCTAGGGGTTCAAAGATATTCAACTAGAACTTTAATCTTCAGACTTTCTCATTGTTGCAGTCTCTAATGGTTTAGTTAAACCTATTAGCCTATTGTTAGATCAATTAATAGAGTGTTTTAGCCTATTGATAGTGTATTGTCTTATATACTTTCTCATTGTTCGATCAGTTGTGATTCTGTGTAGTTCATGTTTCTGGGTGTAAAATTGTTCACACAGTCTCACTTTTGCATCTAATTAGTGAGCCAAAAAGAAAATTTTTAACATTTTAAATCTTAATTATCTCCATTTCAGCCAATGCATATTTTTTCCACCTAAAAGTCTTTGATGCATGTCCCTTTTTTTGAAGTATTGAAACATACATTGATCGAAATTTGCTAAGCACTTGAAACTTTAGAAGTTAAGTCTTTCATTCCTTCCTCCTCCACCTCTTCATCCTTGCTCCACCGCGAATCGAAACTAAAAGTTGCTCATCCAAATCAATTTCGGTTCACTCAAATCCTTAGAACCCTAAAACCCAAATTTCTCCAGATCATTCCAAAATTCAACGGCAAACACAAAACCCAGATCCCTAAACTCACTCGATAATGTGTCAAAGGCTGGGCATCCAGTTCTCACACGTGGCTCCCGTTGGATCCAGCATGTTTTGCTGCTGCCAATCTACAGGAAAAGCTTAAATTTACATACGATTTTTTTTTTGGTTTATTGGAATTTGGGCTTTTTGTTCCTCCTTAATCCCAACTCCGCCGTGTAAGTTTATCTTACATTGCCGGTCCCAAGCCCGGATAAAGGAGGAGGGGGAGGGCGTCAGGTAGTCGACAGCCGGCACTCCATGATCACGTTGAATCTTTATGAAAATGAATCCAGAACGAAATCGCGCTAAAGCTAGGGCGTCACCCGTAAGTGGCGCGCTGTGTGGCCCGAGCACAGTGATAAGTGAGCAAGGGTCGCTGTATCTCCATCGGCACCCGGATGCTGTGTTAAATGAGCAAGGGGGCTATAGAAACTTCTTTTCGAACGACTCCACTCAAAGTTGTTTGGGAGCATATGCTCCTATCAACTTTACACGGGACACACAAAAGAAGTACTTTGATCCTATTAGACGGGGAAGGGTGAAGAAGCTAGGACAGAAGGGTAGAGTTCAAGAGAGCAAAATGCATTTAGGAACGTGGAATATAGGAACCTTGACGGGAAAATCTATGGAAGTAGTAGAAGTTATGGTGAGGAGAAGGATAAATATTATGTGCCTACAAGAAACTAAGTGGGTTGGTCGTAAGGCAAAGGATCTAGAAAACTCAGGGTTTAAACTATGGTATTCGGGCACAAATAAAACGAGAAACGGTGTTGGCATCATCGTGGACAAGACCTTGACACAAGATGTTGTAGATGTCAAGAGGGTAGGATATAGAATCATGGCAATCAAGATTGTAATAGGACAAGAACTTATCAATGTGATTAGTGCGTACGCACCTCAAGTAGGATTGGATACAAGTTCAAAGGAGAAATTTTGGGAAGACCTTGGAGACTTGGTGCAAGGAATTGCTCAGACGGAGAAGTTATTTATATGAGGAGATTTAAATGGACACGTGGGCAGGGAGACAGGCAACTATGGAGGTTTTCATGGTGGCCATGGTTTTGGGGAGAGAAACGAGGATGGGGAAGCTATCTTGGATTTTGCAATGGCATATGATCTCTTCTTAGCCAACACCTTCTTTAAGAAGAGAGAAGAACATGTGATCACCTACAAGAGTGGGTCGTCAAAAACACAAATAGATTTTCTTCTAATGAGAAAAGGGGATCGTATAACTTGTAAGGATTGCAAAGTTATACCAGGAGAGAGCGTGGCTAATCAACATCGCTTGTTGGTGATGGATGTACATATCAAAAGAGTGAGAAAAAAGAACAAGACTTGGAAGTGCCCAAGGACTAGATGGTGGAATCTAAAAGAAGGAAAACAAGCCATTTTCAAAGAGAAAGTAATCACCCAGTGTGTGTGGGATAGAGAGGGGGAAGCTAACCAAATGTGGGATTCCATGGCTAGTTGTATCCGAAAAGTAGCAAAAGAGGTATTAGGAGAGTCCAAGGGCTTTGCCCCACACCAAAAGGAATCTTGGTGGTGGAATGAGGAGGTACAAACAAAGGTGAAGGCTAAGAAAGAATGTTGTAAAGCCTTATACAAGGATAGGACCGATGAAAATGGTGAAAGGTATAGAAAAGCGAAGCAAGAGGCGAAGAAAGCTGTTAGAGAAGCTAAGTTAGCGGCTTATGATGATATGTATAAGCGACTAGATACCAAAGAAGGAGAGTTGGATATCTATAAACTAGCTAGAGCAAGGGAAAAGAAGACAAGGGACCTAAACCAAGGGAGGTGCATCAAGGATGAGGATGGAAAGGTTCTTGCTACAGAGAACGCGGTTAAAGACAGATGGAAATGTTATTTTTATAAACTTTTCAATGAAGGACATGAAAGAAGTGCTTCTTTAGGGGAGTTGAGTAACTCAGAAGAGTGTAGAAACTACTCTTTTTATCGTAGAATTCGGAAGGAAGAAGTGGTTGTAGCTTTGAAGAAGATGAAGCATAGAAAAGCAGTAGGCCCAGACGATATACCAATCGAAGTGTGGAAAGTTTTGGGAGAGACAGGTATAACATGGCTCACTGACCTTTTCAATAGGATTCTGAAAACGAAGAAGATGCCAAATGAGTGGCGAACGAGCACTTTGGTGCCTATATACAAGAATAAGGGCGATGTACAAAATTGCATGAACTATAAGGGTATTAAGCTAATGAGTCATACAATGAAGCTCTGGGAGAGAGTCATTGAGCATAGATTGAGGCAAGAGACACGGGTTTCGGACAACCAATTCGGGTTCATGCCAGGGCGCTCAACCATGGAGGCAATCTATCTCTTACGAAGATTGATGGAAAGATATAGAGATGGGAAAAAGGATTTACACATGGTCTTTATAGATTTGGAAAAAGCGTATGATAGGGTCCCAAGAGACATTCTTTGGAGGATTTTAGAGAAGAAAGGAGTACGAGTAGCATATATCCAAGCTATACAGGATATGTATGAAGGAGCAAAAGACTGCCGTAAGAACTCATGAAGGACAAACCGAAAGCTTTCCCATAACTGTAGGATTACATCAAGGTTCATCCTTAAGTCCTTACCTTTTTGCGTTGGTAATGGATGAGTTAACAGGACATATTCAAGATGATATTCCTTGGTGTATGCTTTTCGCAGACGATATAGTGTTGATAGATGAAACTCAGGAAGGGGTAAATGCAAAGCTTAACCTTTGGAGAGAAGTGTTGGAATCTAAAGGTCTTCGCCTAAGCCGATCAAAGACAGAATATATGGAGTGCAAGTTCAGTGCAAATGGAGGCCAAAACGAGTTAGGGGTGAGGATCGGAGATCAAGAAATACCAAAGAGCGACCGTTTTTCGTTACCTAGGATCTATCTTGCAAAAGAACGGAGAATTAGATGGAGATCTCAACCATAGAATACAAGCTGGATGGATGAAGTGGAAGAGTGCATCCGGCGTGTTGTGTGACCGCCGTATGCCACTGAAGCTCAAGGGAAAATTTTATAGGACGGCAATAAGGCCGGCGATGCTGTATGGCACAGAATGTTGGGCGGTGAAGCATCAACACGTACACAAAATGGGTGTAGCGGAGATGAGGATGCTTCGTTGGATGTGTGGGCACACGAGAAAGGATAAGATTAGGAATGAGGATATCCGGGGTAAAGTAGGAGTAGCCGAAATTGAAGGAAAGATGAGAGAAAATCGGTTACGGTGGTTTGGACATGTGCAAAGAAGGCCTACTGACGCTCCGATTAGAAGATGCGACTATGGGACAGAGGTTCAGGGCCGAAGGGGTAGAGGAAGACCTAGGAAAACTTTGGAAGAGACTCTAAGAAAAGACTTAGAGTACTTGGATCTAACGGAGGACATGACACAGGACAGAACACAATGGCGTTCTAAGATTCATATAGCCGATCCCACTCAGTGACTTGGATTTTCCAAGTCTCCAACCGAGAAGTTTTCCTCACTCGGGAAATTAAGGGAACACTACCCTCAACCTACATGCTCCACTCACAAAGCTTCAACATACAAGCTTCAACAAAAGAAAAATTCAAAGAACTTAGCGAAGAAGGCTTTGGTGTATTTAACACAATACGTTGAAATGAAGGAAAGCTTATTTATTGATATCCCCGATAAGTTACAAATATGTACATATACATGAGTCAAAATAAACAAACAAGAGGGAGCCTTCACAAAGGTTGCTTAGGAGAAGTCTCAGCAGTCGGTAGAGCCCCAGAAAGAGAAGGCACCGGAGGGGGATCATTCGGAGCCTCAGTACTGGACAGAACCCTAGAAGGAGGAGGCATCAGAGGTTGATCATTTGGAGCTTCATTACGCGGTACAGCCCCAGAAGACGAAGGCAATAAATGCCTTTGGAACAAACCCACAAATCTCTGATGATCAAGTAAAAACCTGACCATCAGATTCCTTCATCTGGTCAAGCTTCCTCTTCATGTTTGTAGCATAGTCATGTGCGAGCCGGTGCAACTGTTTATTCTCATGCTTGAGCCCTCTAATCTCCTGTTTGAGACTCATCACTTCAGCCGCCAATGATTCAACTTGGCGGGTTCGAGCAAATAGGCGTTGGGCCATATTAGACACAGAACCTGCACACTGAACACTGAGAGCCAGAGAATCCTTAACAGCCAACTCATCAGACCGTTTGGAAAGTAGTCTGTTATCTTTGGGAGTGAGAAGGTTCCTGGCCACCACCGCAGCGGTCATATCATTCTTCATCACGGAATCCCCAACGGTAAGAGGACCAGTAGGGGAGACGAAGGATGGGCGCCATATGTTGTCTGGAGAAGGCGGGCTGCCTCTTCAACAAGGTTCAAGTCAAAACGACGGTCGGAGGGGCCAGACATTTTCAAAGGTGTTGAAGAGAGAAGAGGTCGGACAAATCAAGATCTTAGAAGTGCAAGAATGGAGCTTCTACTGGTGGAGATTCAAGTGTGCTTTGGAACTTAATGCCAGCCCCTATAAAAATCTGCACTCGACGGAAGCTTCAGAAATCGAAGAGGCGCCTGCTCAGAAATCGAAGAGGCGTTTGCTTTTCTCAAAAGCTGGGCTGCTCAGAGACCACGAGGGTCGATCTCAGAAATCGAAGAGGCGTTTGCTTTCTCAAAAGCTGGGCTGCTCAAAGACCACGAAGGCCGATCTCAGAAATCGAAAGAGGCTTGCTTTTCTCAAAAGCTGGGCTGCTCAGAGACCACGAGGGCCGATCTCAGAAATCGAAGAGGCACCTACTTTTCCAGCCTTGTCAGCACCTGTCACACGCACACTCAGCTTTGCGGAAATTATGGGCATTCTGTCGAAGATTTCTGGCGAAGTAGAAAAGCACATGAATCTTACTGTTCAATCACCCACTTCCCACACGCAACAGTAGCTCATGGGTACCACAGATAACTTTGCCAAAGTTCTCTGACAAAGTTGAGACACGTGAAGCTTGCAGCTCCCACTACATCGCTCTGACCAAGAAGGGTAAAAGAATAGCAAAGAAACAACACTAACAAAGTTTAGACACATAAATTTTGAAGGTCTAGCTACCATATTATTACCCACAAGGGTAAAGGAACAGTACCACTGCTGGATAATTGGAAAGTCCCTGTGTGTCAACCTCTGTGCTTCGTGGCAAGGTAGACTAGCAAACATGCCCAACCTTTACTCACATTCGAGAAAACACTCCCAACAAGATTGCTTGCTCCAAAATCGAAGAGGCACCGCCCTCCGAATCTCGAGAGCCAGACTCCCAACATGATTACTTTCTAAAAAAATCGAAGAGAGGGTAAAGGAACAGTACCACTGCTGGATAATTGGAAAGTCCCTGTGTGTCAACCTCTGTGCTTCGTGGCAAGGTAGACTAGCAAACATGCCCAACCTTTACTCACATTCGAGAAAACACTCCCAACAAGATTGCTTGCTCCAAAATCGAAGAGGCACCGCCCTTCGAATCTCGAGAGCCAGACTCCCAACATGATTACTTTCTCAAAAATCGAAGAGACACCGCTCTCCGAATCTCGAGAGCCAGACCCCCAGCAAGATTGCTTTCTCAAAAATCGAAGAGGCATCGTTCTCCGAATCTCGAGAGCCAGATCCCCGACAGGATTGCTTGTTCAAAAACCGAAGAGGCACCACTTTCCCAACTTTAAGAGCTCGATCTCCTTGGATAAAGCTTGTCTGTAATCTTCAAACGCAACATCAGCTTTCCAGATACCACAGACCACTTTTTCAAAGTGCTCTGACAGAGTTAAAACATGTGAAGCTGGCAGCTCCCACTACCGTGCTATGACCAAGCAGGGTAAAGGAATAGCATTATTACTTGATGTTAGGGAGACTCCTATATATGTCGACCTCCATCCCCAACGGACAGGCAGACCTGCAAAAATGCTCAACCCTTCCTCTTATCTGAGAGGGCACTCCCAACGAAGCCTTTCGAAATATTCAGCTTTCTTTCCCCCCGATAATACCTCTGTAAACAAGCTATACTAGAGCAAGAATATCTCATATCATCAGGGTTAAAAGCAAGAGTATCCCATATCATGCTTTTTCCCTGTCTTTTCCTTTGGCCTTGTTCTTACCTGCAAGACAAGGAGAAAGAGAGCAATCAGTCAGCACTTGGAATCAAGCTTCCAGCCAGGAACTGACTGCCTGGAACCCCTTACCTGATTACTTACCTGGCATTGCTCTCGAGTACTCATCTTCAACATCTTATGCTTCCAGGGAAGATACCGCATCTGCCTGAGGAACAGATAGGGCAAGTGAGAAGGATACAAGGAAGCATGTGGAGACAAGCGTAACAGCACACGTGCCGATACATCCACTACTCTGTCAAAAGCAAAAGTATCCCATATCAGCAGGGTCGAACGTACTCTAGATTTGATGAACTTGTTTTGACCCTCAAATTCTTCAGTCGGCCTTATACTCTGGAGGAAACCAGAAAACCCTCCAGCCCAGTTCAAGAATAAGCCTGTGGAAAGTTACTTCTTCAAAAGCAAAAGTATCCCATATCATCTCTTCTCATTTTTCTTCTCTTTATCCTTCATGCTGCCTGCAAGATAGGGAGAATGTGAACAATCAGCCAGAGATCTGATTGCTTACCTTGTCTGTCACCTCTTCCAGAAGATCCCCTAGCTCGGCGACTTGGGGGACTCCTACTACATGGTTTGTATCGCGCTTGACCAAGCCTGAAACTACAAGTAAGCTTCAAGTGAAATTGATACATTACCTTGTGCATCTCCACCAGTTATAGATACCACCCCTGGATGGAGGAAGAGTACTTCCAGAGAAGATGCCACATCTACCTATGAGACAGATAAGGCAAGTCAAGACGATACCACACTCCGGTACTTAGAAGTTTCGTGGTTACGAGATCATTCTCCCACAATATTTCCTAATGTCATTTGTACTAAATCATTCATTCACTTGTACTCACTAAAGGAGAGCTTGAACCTATGTACTTGTGTAAACCCTTCACAATTAATGAGAACTCATCTATTCCGTGGACGTAGCCAATCTGGGTGAACCACATACATCTTGTGTTTGCTTTCCTATCTCTATCCATTTATATACTTATCCACACTAATGACCGGAGCAATCTAGCGAAGATCACAAAAAGTGACCGTTTTCGCTACCTAGGATCTATCTTGCAAGAGAACGGAGACTTAGATGGAGATCTCAACCATAGAATACAAGCTGGATGGATGAAGTGTAAGAGTGCATCCGGCGTGTTTGTGTGACCGTCGTAGGCCACTGAAGCTCAAGGAAAAATTGTATAGGACGGCAATAAGGCCGCGATGTTGTATGGCACAGAATGTTGGGCGGTGAAGCATCAACACGTACACAAAATGGGTGTAGCAGAGATAAGGATGCTTCGTGGGAGGTATGGGCACACGAGAAAGGATAAGATTGAGAATGAGGATACCCGAGGTAAAGTAGGAGTAGCCAAAATTGAAGGAAATATGAGAGAAAATCGGTTCCGGTGGTTTGGACTTGTGCAAAGAAGGCCTACTGACGCTCCGGTTCGAAAATATGACTACGGGACAGAGGTTCAGGGCCGAAGGGGTAGAGGAAGACCTAAGAAAACTTTGGAATAGACCCTAGGAAAAGACTTGAGTACTTGGATCTAACGGATGACATGACACAAAACCGAGCGCAATGGCGTTCTAGGATTCATATAGCCGACCCCACTTAGTGGGAAAAGGCTTTGTTGTTGTTGTTGTTGTTGTTCCTCCTTAATCCCAAAGTTATGTAATTTATGCAACTTCGATCGAAAGACATGTTTTTCATTTGCTCATTAAAATAGCGTTTTGGGTTCTGTAACCGAACCTCCTTGCTCCTCTTTTAACTCTAGAATCTTGAGAATATATGTGGGTTTTGCTTTCAATTTGATAAACCTCTGTGTGTTCGTGAGCTGATACAGTTTTTGGGTACTAAGTCGAAATTTTGTTGGATACGAACCCATAAACAAATATGAGGAAGTATGTGAATCATCATTCAGCAAGGGTGATTGGCGATAGAAATTGGGTTATTCCATTCATTACTTGTTTCTCAAATTTGGTTGATGGAAAGATTGTTTTATCCTTTACTAAATAGTTGTTAGGATTAATAGTTTTGATTTGTTTTGAATTTATTTTTTTATTTTATTTTGAAGCCCTGAATTTTGCAAGGACTGTCTACCCTGTATGAACACCAAATGCTCCTGACGTTTCAAATAAGGTAACTTCCCAAACACTGATGTTTCGCTTTTTTACTGGTTTATGTAATCCATTGAGTTATGTAACTTTTCTAATATTCGTTTTCTATGCAAGTTAAATTGTTATTTTTCGGTTTGTCAATAATTTTTCTTTCCTACTCTACATCCTGGATTAAGAGGTTGCCATGTCAAGGAGTTCAAGTTTTGCTCAATAGATAACAGTTGTTTTTAAGCTTAGTCTGTAATCTGTATGGTCTTGATCTTGTCTTTTATTTTGGTGTCTGTTAGGTGTCACCAGATGGTCTACTAAAGCAGCTAAGGGTATTGAAATCAGTTATGGTTGATTGGTGGTGGGGAATTGTAGAGGGATATGGTAGACATAAGTATAATTGGAATGGATACAAGAGGCTCTTTCAGATGGTACATGCCTGTTTTTTCACTTGCAGAAGCTTTTCTCTCAGTGGGCATATAAACACCACCTGTGGTTAATTGTTTTGCAATCTTTGTGGTCATTTTATTCTTTCCATGGTTTCCTGTCATGCTTGGCAAAGTTTTGAGATTTAGTCTCTACAATGTGGGAACCAAGGAGCTCACTTCCCCTTCATGCTCTGAATTCACACTCAGTCTGGAGATTATATAATCATTTGGGCATGGTTTCTCTCTAGGATAAAGCTTCTGTCTGGCTATATATATGGAATTGGGTTTGTGTAATTAATGTCAAATAATTGAGTTCAACATAGTTATATTCCTTGGCTTAAGGTTTCATCTTTCTTCCTTCGTTTTTCAAAAGAGGTTAATTTTATACTCATTTTTTCAGAATTATGCATAGTGGTTGTTAACTAATTGGGGCATTTGAAAGTCCTTGCTTCTGTAATTGTGCGATGATTATTGTGTTTTGCTTTATTTAATTATAATATAGGAGTGATGGAAAATTGAATTTATGCAGGTGTTTTCATTTTTTCTTCCTAGCTATCAATTTGGGTTTGCACATGATGCCAAAAAGAACTAGGAATGGCAAAAGAAATCAGATGGTACAAGATCATACTTCTAGAAGTCCCCGCAGCGGAGTGTGGGCATTTTTGCTAGTGTACTCAAAAAGGCTTACAAGGTAAGACCACCTTATCCTTGGAAACAAATTTCTTTTTTAATTTAGAATCTGGTTTTCATGCATTTTATTTTCATGTTGTTTTTGCTGGTGTGTTTAGTTGCTTCATTATGCTTGTTCCTACTTTTCCTTCTGAGGACGTCGAAAACCTGTTTGTTGTGGTTTAGGAAAAAACAATTTCTGATTAGATACATTCTCTATATGTCTTGAGGGTGCAAGTGTAGTTTTTTTTTCTTTCCTTTCCTCCATTATGAAGTTGCTCTCCTCATATTGTTCTGGTCATTTCATATTATCCCCTATGCTACCACCATACATTATGTGAATGTTCCGTATGATTACAAGTTATGCACTTCATTCCTGACCAGTAAAACGGTCTGCCTTGGTTCAATCAATGTTTAGGCTCTTGACATAAAACTAAATGCAATCTATGTCATTGGGTACGGAGGATGTTCTTCCTGCATATATTGGGATTGAACATGCAACTATTATTTCATAGTTGGAATCTGTCTCATATGACCCATTGGTTCTGGACGATTGATGGCTGTATGCACCTTGTCCATGTCACCAAGCCGTACTCGCCAAGTTTTAACTCCCCATTTCTTGTAGATGACAGCTCTCATTGAAGGAGAGTTCTCTCTACCCCAACTCCTTTTTTTTATGACAAGGCTATTAATTGTTTTGTCCTTTTTGGGGGTTTTGTTCTTTCCAAAATTAAAAGCTGAACAGACGGTACCTAATTCATGAAGGTTGATACGTTTCTTAGTATTTGACACTTTGTTGGTGTCTGGACGTTTACGGCCGTGTTTGATCCCTGCCAGTGAAAATAGTTGTTTTTTATGAAACAGGGACTCTGGCAGTTGGGAAACCCGTAGTAGCCAATGCTGTGCTCTTCTCCAATTACTCAATGGAGGAGTTCTGTGTTGTGTCTATTGTTACAGAGGTTGGTGCTTATGTTTCAAATTTTTACATGAAAAGTTTTAGTTTGTACAGTTAAGTTACAGATGAGACACCTCATTGTTATTATGCTATTGTAAAATTATTTTGTCAATCATGCTAACATGCCTCTATTTGAGAAATATGTAGGTAAATGGTGATTGGTGAGGCTCATGCGGGAAAATAATGTCCAGGTTGGTCCTGAGGTTGACAAGTACATTTCAGAACATAATAATCTAGCTCGAATGTGTGTGTTGGTTTCCATTGATGGAAAGATTGCTGGGTCTTTTGCTGTAACTGATCCAGTGAAGCTAGAGGCTGCACGAGTCATCTCTTATCTTCACTCGATAAACATTACAAGCATCATGGTTACTGGTGATAACTGGGCTACAGCGGCAGCCAGAGTGATGGAGGTTGGCATTGATAAGCTGTATGCTGAGACGGATCCACTAGGAAAAGCTGATAGAATCAAAGAATTACAGTTACGATTATATTATAGTTACAGGGGTGGTGTGAGTGGATTACAATTACCCAGCTCCACAAGTAATTTTGTTCGGGTTTTGAACGCAGATTGAGGATTACTAAATTATATTTCAAATGACTTATCTAGGGTAAAATAATGTCTTATGCAAATCTTCAAACTCATTTTTCTATATTAAGTTGTTTCTGACTTGATATGTGAGTTATCTATCTAACATAGTGTTTTCTGACTTGTTAAAGTGGATTTGGATGCAGATGAAAGGAATGGCGGTGGCAATGATGGGAGATGGAATTAATGACTCTCTGGCCATTGTTGCAGGAGATGTTGGCATGGCAATTGGTGCTGGCACCGACGTATAGAAGCTGCTTATAGTTCTGATGAAGAGCAACTTGGAAGATGTAGTTACAGCCATTGATCTCTCTAGAAAGACCATGTCTCGAATTCGATTGAATTATATCTGGGCGCGGGGCTACAATATCCTCAGCATGCCGGTGGGGGCTGGAGTTTTGGCCCCTTTCACTGGAATTCGATTACCACCGTGGCTTGCAGGTGCAGGCCTGCTTCATCTCTAAGCGTGGTATGTCCTCTCTTGTTGCAGTCATATAAAAAAGCCTTTGCATATTCAGAGCTGTCTCCAATGGCAAGTCTGCATGATAGTGAATGTACGTATCTGAACTAATTTTCAATCTCGGGTTGTTGCTTCCCTTCTTCGTTATTGCTGCAATGAATTTTTACATGCGATCGTGATTAATAATTTAGAAGCATAAGACCGTAATTCTTGGACCGTTTGCGTATCATCTTTGCTTTGTTCTGTTCAGAAAAACTAATTAGCCAAGTTTAGATGATTTTCGAATCCGAAGAGTGTTCAACGAGAGCTTGATTATATGTAAACGCCGTCGAAAACATTTCAACCGGAAGAATGTGACTGTTATGTGTTTGGTCGCATTTGCATTTGCATTTGAATCAAAATGTATGTCATCATTGTTGTACTTTTATGCGCAAACGGAAGCAAATTATAACGAAGTACCAAATATCAACGTCGTAGGTGAAAGCTAAAACAAATAATCTCAAACTGACACAAGAGATTTACGTGGTTTGGCGTAAAGCCTACTCCACTGGCGAAGCACGGCGAGGAATTTCACTAAACAAATGGAGATTACAAAAGAGTGTTTAAACTCTCACAACCCAAATCCCACAAATTACAAAACCTAAACCAAATGAGTAGAGAACCCAAACTAACGGAGAAGATTCTCCCAAATTGCTCTCTAACTTACAAACTCACAAATTGACTCTCACCAAATTGTCACACGAATGAGCTACACAAAATACACTAACCCTAAGGTCCTATTTATAGTGCATAGAACTTAGGTTACAATAGGAATCCTAATAGCAAATAAATCTAAAACCTAATCAAATAGGTAATTAACAAAATCTCTCCACCAAGGAAACTAACTAAGAAGTCAAAACCAAACCCAAATAGGATACCAAAACCAAATAGGTAACACAAACCTAATTTATTGCATCATCCTAATTTTGAGCCAAAAACCCAACAATCTCCACCTCGAAAAGAAATTAGCAAACTTCCAAATTTGGGATACCAAAATACAAACGCAAACGTGCACCAAATTCTTTCGAAAACTGATCTCCACCTAGACTCAAAAAATCCAAAAGTCTTCAAACTTGAAATTTCCTCCAACGCCTTTTCCAACAAATTCCATTATGGAAACTAACAAATACAAAATAAAATCCAAGCAAAAGCTTGAACATACGAACAAAAAGTGCGAATTGCACTCCACCCAAAGAGCTTGAGTACCAAGCTCCACCTCTTCACATAACCTTTAGAGGAGTTCAGAACAACGATCTTCTGCAATGTTTGCATCAACACTAGCAAAAGACTTATCAAACAACTTCTTTTTGCCTTTGAGTTTAGGGCAATCTACTTTCCAATGACCATCCTTATAACAATAGCTACAAGTGTTCTTTCCAAGTTTGCTCCTTTCCTTATTCCTTCCTTGAACTACCAAAGCTCCATCTTGTGTGTCAGACACTTTATTCTTCAGCTCTTTAGAATTCAAAGCGACTTTAACATCTTCCAAAACTAAGACTTTCTCTACCAAATAGCATGGTATCGACAAAGTGTTCATATGAAGGAGATAAAGAACACAACAAAGTTATCGCATAATCCTCATCACTAATTTGGTTGTCCACACTTTTCAAATCCATCATAAGTTTATTGAATTCATCAACATGCTTATGAATTGACGTACCTTCATCCATACGAAGAGTATGCAAACTTTTCTTCAAATACAACCGTTTAGCAAGAGATTCGGTCATATACAAGCTCTCCAATTTTATCCACAACTCCAGTGCAGATTTGATGCTACCAACTTCACGCAAGACTTCATTCGATAAAGTCAGCAGGATTGCTCCAAGTGCCCGCTCCATAACGTCTTCTTTTTCTTCATCAGTCCACGAATTCGGCAAAGCCTTCACACCCTTTAGCATTTTCAAAAGCCCTTGTTGAACTAACAAAGCACGCATCTTCAATTGCCAAATACCAAAGTCATTGCTGTCGAACTTTTCAATATCAACTTTCACCGATGACACAGAAGGCTTCATAGTGACTACCAAGCAAAGCCCAAGCCGAAACCTGGGCTCTGATACCACTTGTTGTACTTTTATGTGCAAATGGAAGCGAATTATAACAAAGTACCAAATATGAACGTCGTAGGTGAAAGCAAAAACAAATAATCTCAAACTGACACGAGATTTACGTGGTTTGGCGTAAAGCCTACTCCACGGGCGAAGCACGGCGAGGAATTTCACTAAACAAATGGAGATTACAAAAGAGTGTTTAAACTCTCACAACCCAAATCCCACAAATTACAAAACCTAAACCAAATGAGTAGAGAACTCAAACTAACGGAGAAGATTCTCCCAAATTGCTCTCTAACTCACAAACTCACAAATTGACTCTCACCAAATTGCCACACGAATGAGCTACACAAAATACACTAACCCTAAGGTCCTATTTATAGTGCATAGAACTTAGGTTACAATAGGAATCCTAATAGCAAATAAATCCAAAACCTAATCAAATAGGTAATTAACAAAATTTCTCCACCAAGGAAACTAACTAAGAAGTCAAAACCAAACCCAAATAGGATACCAAAACCAAAAGGTAACACAAACCTAATTTATTGCATCATCCTAATTTTGGTGTGTGTTTGATATGTTAAAAAATCTAAAGTCTCCTCACCTTGACATAGAAGCCAGGCAAGTCTAAGGGCTGGTTTGGTATTGCTGTGCTTTGAAAAAAAAACTGCTTATTTTGTGCTGTGAGAATAAGCTTATTTTTGCTGCTTCACGCTTTTAATTTTTTTTCACCCAAAAATGTGAAAATAAACTGTTTTTAAGTGTTTACCAAACACCTTTTTGAGCTCAGTTTTTTTTTATACCCACTTTTTATAAAAGCACCTCAGTACCAAACCAGTACTAAAGTCGTTCGCAAGTCTTGGTAACACCAACTTGTTTCCCTATTTATGTGAATGTAATGAGTTCTAGTTTTCGATTGAATTTATACCGAAAGACGAAAACTACTACAATTAAGGTGAGAAGTCGTTTCCTACTATCAAAGATGTTGTCGATGATACAATGCTTGTGTTATATCTATATGATGATTGTGGCTAATTACTTAACTGCAGGAGCATTAGCAATAGCTCATACCAATTTCAGCACAGATCAATCTGCGCTTCTTGCTCTCAAGGCTCACCCTCAAAACATCTTGACCGCCAACTGGTCCTCTGCCTCCAATTCCAACATTTGCAACTGGGTTGGCGTTACCTGCTGTGCTCGCCACCACAGAGTCACGGCCTTAAATATCCCGTACATGGGTCTTGCCGGACTTATTCCTCCGCATCTTGGCAACCTCTCATTTCTCGTTGAGTTGGGCCTTCAGAATAATAGTTTTCATGGTCCCCTACCCCAAGAACTGCCTCGTTTGTGCCGGTTGAAGGCGATTAACTTTGGAAACAACAGCTTTATGGGAACCATTCCTTTGTGGTTTGGGTCCTTTGCTAAACTTCAAACCATCAAATTGTACGATAATGACTTCTCTGGTTTCATACCCGCTGCTATCTTCAACTTATCTGCACTCGAAAACATTTACCTGATGAGGAACCAACTATCGGGTACGTACATACCACCATTACCAACTACCTAGGAATATAAATTAATGTTGCTTGCTTCATCATTACATTTTAACATCTTTGTTTCATTTTAACCTCTATATATAAGATGTATAACAATCATCTCGTTTGTTTTTTTTTTCCTTCTTTTTTGTTGGAATGCATGCACATATTTAACAGGTAGCATACCCAGAGAAATAGGCAACTTAACAATGGTGAAGGGCATATACCTTGACGACAACAAGTTCGAAGGTATACTGTATGACTTAGGTTTTGTTACATATATATACAAACACACACACACACACATAAACACAAGCCCCTTCTTAGCTGGGATCTTGTTCAACTTCAGCAAAAATGAGATGAGAGGACTATTGTAGGATCGTATATTGACCGTGTAAGACCCTCGTATTCTAGAGCAAAAAAGAGGTCCTATATGGTGAGTACATGGTCCTTAAAATGTATCCCACTTTTGCTATGGTACAACGGGATTCCCACTAAGAAGCTGCTCCTATATATGTATACATGATTTTAACAATATACACGGATTGATTTTATAGAACTTCCGAACGAGATAGGCAGTTTAGGTCAGCTGGAGGAGTTGTTTGTGCAGGACAATGCCCTAAAAGGCTCTGCTTTTGTGCCTGTCCTTAACATATCTTCTTTGACTACTTTGGCTTTATCCGAAAACAACATGAGTGGTATTCTTCCGGACAATATGTGTGAGCATCTTTCGAGTATTCAACGATTTTCTTTGAATCAAAACCAGCTTGACGGTCTGATTCCCTCCAAACTGTGGCAATGCAAAGAGCTTCGTGTAATTGCATTAGAGTCTAACAATTTCCGTGGGAGCATACCCAAAAGTCTTGGCAATTTGACCTACTTAACCGAGATTTTTCTTCGTTTCAATAATTTAACAGGTAATAAATTTGGGGGCGTTTTACAATCATTTCGTTTTTAGTTTTTAGATAAACTGAAGTTACAAAGTTAATGCAAACGTGTTGACATTGTGATAGGTACAATACCGGATGAGATTGGTGATCTTCCGCAATTAGAGGTTTTGAGACTGGGTGCTAATAATCTCAATGGTGTCATCCCATCCAAGCTCTTCAATAACTCCATGATTAGAGTAATATCGCTTACTTTAAATCAGCTCTCAGGTGGCCTCCCAGCAAACATAGGTTTTAACGTTCCAAACCTAGAATTCTTTTCTGTATCCTCCAATAACCTCGTGGCCGGGACACTCCCTAACTTCTCCAATGCTTCCAAGCTCAGGGCCCTAGACATGGACACAAACTCTTTTACCGGGTTTCTTCCCATCACGCTCTGTTCCTTGAAAAACCTTGAGCGTCTTGTCTTGTTCTGGAATCATTTGACGATTGATGCTTCTACTCTCTCTTGCTTGTTTAATCTTAGAAATTTGACACTACTAGACTTGGGAGGTAATCCATTAAACACCACGATTCCAGCTTTTCGTGGGAATCTCTCTACGCCACTCACATATTTTGATTTAAGCATTTCCAACATCAGGGGTAACATTCCCGTTGATATTGCCAACTTGAGCAGCTTGATAGAACTACATCTGGAAATCAATCAGTTGAGCGGAGCAATTCCAACTTCAATACAAAGGCTACAAAATCTCCTAGGTTTGTATTTGCACAATAACGAACTGGGAGGACATATCCCGTATGAACTCTGTCAACTAAACAACCTAGCCGAGTTAGGTTTGGGTCATAATCGGCTCTCTGGTTCTATTCCTTCCTGCTTGGGTGCGTTGGCAGTAGCTCTAAGAAATCTATCGTTAGAGTCCAATTTGTTAACTTCAAAAATACCATCTTCCTTGTGGGAACTCAAGTATGTACTGCACCTAAACTTGTCATCCAATTCTCTAGTTGGACCACTCTCAGAAGACATCGGAAAGTTGAAAGAAGTGGTGGATATAGATTTATCAAATAACCACTTCTCCGGAAACATTCCCGGTAGCATTGGTGGTCTTCAAAATATGATTAATTTGTCCTTGGCAAACAATTATTTACAAGGCCCTATTCCTAGTTCATTTAAAACCTTGCTAAGGCTAGAATTCTTGGATTTGTCCCAAAATAATCTATCTGGAGAGATCCCAAAGTCATTGGAAGCACTCTTGTATCTCAAGCATCTGAATTTGTCTTTCAACAAACTCCAGGAGAAATTCCAACCGGCGGGCCTTTCTGAAACTTCTTTGCTGATTCATTTGTATCCAACGGTGCGCTCTGTGGTGCTTCCCGACTCCATGTTCCACTGTGCAAAAATAGAACAAAAGTGAAGCCAAATTGGAGGAAAGCTAAATATATCATCTCAGGGGTCATATCAGTAATATTCCTAGCGGCTGCTGCATTGATTCTGATACTATGCAAGAAAAGGAATGTCGAAGTTGTTAGAGAAACTGGCTCGCTACATCAAGTTCTTTGGAGAAGAGTTTTGCGCCTAGAACTTGTAAAGGCAACAAATGGATTTCATGAAAGTAACTTACTAGGCACGGGGGGGGGTTTGGCTCAGTATACAGAGGAACACTTTCAGACGGGATAGATATCGCCATCAAGGTTTTCAATTTACAGCTAGAAGGGGCATTCAAGAGTTTTGATAAGGAATGTGAAATGCTAAGCAATATCCGTCACCGAAATCTTATTAAAATCATAAGTTGCTGCGATGAACTTGATTTCAAAGCCCTGATACTTCAATTGATGCCTAATGGAAGCCTCGAAAACTGGTTGTATTCTCCAAACCGCTCCATGAATATCCTGCAGAGGCTGGATGTAATGAAAGATGTTGCATTGGCACTGGAATATCTTCATCATGGTTACTCGGTACCTATCGTTCATTGTGATGTGAAACCAAGCAATATACTATTAGATGATGATATGGTTGCACATGTTGCTGATTTTGGCATTGCAAGACTCATCGGTGGTGGAGATTCGATGACAGAAACCATGACCCTAGCCACAGTTGGATATATGGCTCCAGGTGATGTATTTTCTCAATTTTGTATCTGTTGGTCTTATTAGGAGTTATGATTTTCTTTTTATCATATATAACTAAATTCACATACAAATTTTGCAGAGTTTGGGATGGAAGGAAGCGTTTCAACAAGAGGGGATGTGTATAGTTTTGGTATTGTACTCATGGAGACATTCACAAAAAGGAAGCCAACGGATGAGATGTTTGTTGGGGAAATGAATTTAAAGCAATGGATTGCAGATTCATTATTTCCAGATGCTGCAATAGGTGAAGTTGTGGATGCCGATATACTTGGGGCGGAGGAAGATGGTGATTTCGTGAGCAGGAGGGATTGCTTAGCATCCGTTATGAGATTAGCTTTAGCTTGCTCTGCAGCATTGCCAGGAGAGAGGATTAATATGAAAGATGCCGCAATCACACTCACCAAAATCAAGACTAAGTACTTGAAGGACTGTGGAGGAGTGAACTCTTAGTTCTTTTTGTTGTCTATATTTTCGGATCCATTTTCTTATTGTTGTTTTCAATCTGCAAAGACTACTTTATTTGCTCATAGTGACGGATATGACAATACGACGATATTCCTAAAATTGAAATGCCGAACCTGGATTTGCCAATGGAATGAGATTAGTAGTACCAAAATTGCAATTCCAATTATTCTTCCCATATTTGGTAGTAAAGCATTCAGTTTCTATGGCCAACCAAATCCGTTTCAAAAATTTACACTTCCAGCTCAAGAATGCCTGTCATGGGAACACAAAGTTATTTTAGTCAACATATCAGGAAGTTACAAACTTCTACACATGCCCTTGACAAAAAATTATAGGGCAGTGAGGCTACTCCTGTAGGTAGTTCAATAAACTTACTGGTAAGTTGGGTTTTTTCACTGCTTTACCAATTTGTGCTCATCTTTTTGACAAAAGGAACGAAGTTACTCCAATTTTCAGCCGTAAAGATCTTACAATTCATTCTGAAATATGTAAATGATCTTACTGCTTCAGCCTGGGAATGGTAACAGTTAGCATGTATTTTCCATAAACCAAACTGCAGGAGAAAAGCAAACGCATGAATACGCAGGACAGAATGGGCAAAAGAAAAAGTGGTTAACTATTAAACGCTATCAGAAGCCATGTGTTTCTAGTTATATGACATTTGCAATATCCAATATATGTCTAACAGAAATAATTGCTTTTGTTATTGAGCAAGGGATGAATTTACCCTGTCAAATCGTTCATCGGTATTTCTCCCAATCAAATGTACCCTTTTCTTTGAAACACTCCATATCTGGTGCAAATTGAATCATGTTAGATTACATTGGAATTGTATAATATTTTAAATATACAATAAACAAAGCATAAGGCCAGACATAAGCTCATATTGGCCTGTTCCAAGCCCATGTTGAACCCAGAGACCCTGCACGACCTGCCGTGCCAAGCACAGCTGCATGGGCTAGTCCTACCTAACTTAAAAGCTTGAATTATACAAAAAATATCTAAAGTAAGTCCAAAATAAGTGCCAACAAAGCAACAACCTAAGGAAGCATTATTTATCAACAGGCCTCGTACCTGTTCGAGTAATCCTTCTGGGCTACAAAGACAAGATGCCGGGTTATCACCATCCATCATTTCTAAGCAGCTGCAATAAGATATTTAGTATGTGAACTAGGTAGAAAAGATACATTTGAAATCAAGCGGATGTTTAAGAAACCCTAATTATCAGGTTGGACAATGAACAAAATTCCAGTCAGAACCTTAAAACTTAGAATCTTACGGAACATGCAAAGCAGCTCCATGACGAGACAAAAGTAAAGCAACAGGATCATAACCATTTCTAACAACAGTGTTGTAGTATCCTGCTGTAAGTTCAGCAGGGTGTGCTATCGCCTGATACCACCAATATATTCCACCAATTTTAGCTGCCAATATAATTGAAGTTTGCTCGTTTTCTTGATATTTCTTCAGAATGTTAGCTGCCTTTGCAAGAATATCATCTGCATGATGGAGCAAACTACCACTGTACCATTCCTACAACGAGTCAAGCCACTGTCAGATCTCCTAAGCTCCAGTGTTTTCCAGTAAGTTTAATCATGTTATGTCAAGTATTGCATGATAAAGAACCATAATATAATTTAATTTTCCACTTATACTCCATAATTCTCCTTAGTTTACTAACCAGTACATCCTAAGATGGCAAGTGCCTTCGCCCATGAGCGGTAGATCTCGGGTTCGAGACTTGGGAGCAGCCTCCCCATAAAATGGGGGTAAGGCTAGCCGACATTCACCTCTCCCAGACCTTGCGTAAAGCGGGAGCCTTGTGCACTGGGTACGACCTTTTTCTCTCTAGAAGACAAAATGGGACGGCAATAAGGCCGGCGATGCTGTATGGCACAGAATGTTGGGCGGTGAAGCATCAACACGTACACAAAATGGGTGTAGCGGAGATGAGGATGCTTCGTTGGATGTGTGGGCACACGAGAAAGGATAAGATTAGGAATGAGGATATCCGGGGTAAAGTAGGAGTAGCCGAAATTGAAGGAAAGATGAGAGAAAATCGGTTACGGTGGTTTGGACATGTGCAAAGAAGGCCTACTGACGCTCCGATTAGAAGATGCGACTATAGGACAGAGGTTCAGGGCCGAAGGGGTAGAGGAAGACCTAGGAAAACTTTGGAAGAGACCCTAAGAAAAGACTTAAGAGTACTTGGATCTAACGGATGACATGACACAGGACAGAACACAATGGCGTTCTAAGATTCATATAGCCGATCCCACTCAGTGACTTGGATTTTCCAAGTCTCCAACCGAGAAGTTTTCCTCGCTCGGGAAATTAAGGGAACACTACCTCAACCTACATGCTCCACTCACAAAGCTTCGACATACAAGCTTCAACAAAAGAAAATTCAAAGAACTTAGCGAAGAAGGCTTTGGTGTATTCAACACAATACGTTGAAATGAAGGAAAGCTTATTTATTGATATCCCCGATAAGTTACAAATATGTACATATACTTGAGTCAGAATAAACAAATAAGAGGGAGCCTTCACAAAGGCTGCTTAGGAGAAGTCTCAGCAGTCGGTAGAGCCCCAGAAAGAGAAGGCACCGGAGGGGGATCATTCGGAGCCTCAGTACTGGACAAAACCTTAGAAGGATGAGGCATCAGAGGTTGATCATTTGGAGCTTCATTACGCGGTACAGCCCCAGAAGACGAAGGCAATAAATGCCTTTGGAACAAACCCACAAATCTCTGATGATCAAGTAAAACCTGACCATCAGATTCCTTCATCTGGTCAAGCTTCCTCTTCATGTTTGTAGCATAGTCATGTGCGAGCCGGTGCAACTGTTTATTCTCATGCTTGAGCCCTCTAATCTCCTGTTTGAGACTCATCACTTCAGCCGCCAATGATTCAACTTGGCGGGTTCGAGCAAATAGGCGTTGGGCCATATTAGACACAGAACCTGCACACTGAACACTGAGAGCCAGAGAATCCTTAACAGCCAACTCATCAGACCGTTTGGAAAGTAGTCTGTTATCTTTGGGAGTGAGAAGGTTCCTGGCCACTACCGCAGCGGTCATATCATTCTTCATCACGGAATCCCCAACGGTAAGAGGACCAGTAGGGGAGACGAAGGATGGGCGCCATATGTTGTCTGGAGAAGGCGGGGCTGCCTCTTCAACAAGGTTCAAGTCAAAACGACGGTCGGAGGGGCCAGACATTTTCAAAGGTGTTGAAGAGAGAAGAGGTCGGACAAATCAAGATCTTAGAAGTGCAAGAATGGAGCTTCTACTGGTGGATATTCAAGTGTGCTTTGGAACTTAATGTCAGCCCCTATAAAAATCTGCACTCGACGAAGCTTCAGAAATCGAAGAGGCGCCTGCTCAGAAATCGAAGAGGCGTTTGCTTTCTCAAAAGCTGGGCTGCTCAGAGACCACGAGGGTCGATCTCAGAAATCGAAGAGGCGTTTGCTTTCTCAAAAGCTGGGCTGCTCAGAGACCACGAGGGTCGATCTCAAAAATCGAAGAGGCGTTTGCGTTCTCAAAAGCTGGGCTGCTCAAAAACCACGAAGGCCGATCTCAGAAATCGAAGAGGCTTGCTTTCTCAAAAGCTGGGCTGCTAAGAGACCACGAGGGCCGATCTTAGAAATCGAAGAGGCACCTACTTTTCCAGCCTTGTCAGCACCTGTCACACACACACTCAGCTTTGCGGAAATTATGGGCATTCTGTCGAAGATTTCTGGCGAAGTAGAAAGCACATGAATCGTACTGTTCAATCACCCACTTCCCACACGCAACAGTAACTCATGGGTACCACAGATAACTTTGCCAAAGTTCTCTGACAAAGTTGAGACACGTGAAGCTTGCAGCTCCCGCTACATCGCTCTGACTAAGAAGGGTAAAAGAATTGCAAAGAAACAACACTAACAAAGTTTAGAGACATAAATTTTGAAGGTCTAGCTACCATATTATTACCCACAAGGGTAAAGGAACAGTACCACTGCTGGATAATTGGAAAGTCTCGGTGTGTCAACCTCTGTGCTTCGTGGCAAGGTAGACTAGCAAACATGCCCAACCTTTACTCACATTCGAGAAAACACTCCCAACAGGATTGCTTGCTCCAAAATCGAAGAGGCACTGCCCTCTCAATCTCGAGAGCCAGACTCCAAACATGATTACTTTCTCAAAAATCGAAGAGAGGGTAAAGGAACAGTACCACTGCTGGATAATTGGAAAGTCCCTGTGTGTCAACCTTTGTGCTTCGTGGCAAGGTAGACTTGCAAACATGCCCAACCTTTACTCACATTCGAGAAAACACTCCCAACAAGATTGCTTGCTCCAAAATCGAAGAGGCACCGCCCTCCGAATCTCGAGAGCCAGACTCCCAACATGATTACTTTCTCAAAAATCGAAGAGAGGGTAAAGGAACAGTACCACTGCTGGATAATTGGAAAGTCCCTGTGTGTGTCAACCTCTGTGCTTCGTGGCAAGGTAGACTAGCAAACATGCCCAACCTTTACTCACATTCGAGAAAACACTCCCAACAAGATTGCTTGCTCCAAAATCGAAGAGGCACCGCCCTCCGAATCTCGAGAGCCAGACTCCCAACATGATTACTTTCTCAAAAATCGAAGAGACACACCGCTCTCCGAATCTCGAGAGCCAGACCCCCAGCAGGATTGCTTTCTCAAAAATCGAAGAGGCATCGTTCTCCGAATCTCGAGAGCCAGATCCCCGACAGGATTGCTTGTTCGAAAACCAAAGAGGCACCACTTTCCCAACTTCAAGAGCTGGATCTCCTTGGATAAAGCTTGTCTGTAATCTTCACACGCAACATCAGCTTTCCAGATACCACAGACTACTTTTTCAAAGTGCTCTGACAGAGTTAAAACATGTGAAGCTGGCAGCTCCCACTACCGTGCTATGACCAAGCAGGGTAAAGGAATAGCATTATTACTTGATGTTAGGGAGACTCCTATATATGTCGACCTCCATCCCTAACGGACAGGCAGACCTGCAAAAATGCTCAACCCTTTCTCTTATCGGAGATGGCACTCCCAACGAAGCCTTTCAAAATATTCAGCTTTCTTTCCCCCCGATAATACCTCTGTAAACAAGCTATACTAG